TTTTTTTTTTTTTTTTTTTTTTTTTTTTTTTGGATTTAAGACACGACGACGGCGAAAGGAACTTTTGTCATTTTGCCAAACTCATTGCTCGCAATAGAAGTCAATGGTTTGGTTCGCAAGGCTTAAGATCTACTCAACTCAGCTGATTAATTTAAAAGGAAGCTCTTTACATCTAAATGTATATAGATCATGCTAATCATGGTTAAAAAAGTGGCTTTGACATCCAGATCATAGCCTTCTTTTCTGTTCAGGTAATAATCAAATAATTTAAAAGACATTAACTCATGCTTACAGGCATCAATAAGTTTATTACGTCCCAAATACACGTGATGCAACTTAGAACCTCTCATAAAGTTTCTAAACTACGTACAAAGTGGCGGAATTTATAAACAATACTTAGAAAATTCTGAAGAAAATTTTGCTTTCCGCATAAATATTACAGATTTGTAATACTCTTGCAATTCATCATTACTATTTTTTTTTTTTTTTTTTGGAACTGTTCGCTGAATACAAAAATCAATATAATAGCAAAGTAAACAACAAATGATAAAAGGAAATGAAAAAAAATGCTAATGTTAAAAGGGAGCCACTTAGTGTCACAGTCAGTTACATATCTGTTCTGAGTTCGTTTTCAACAGGAGCGGTCCCTCCACTGGCTGTTTTCTAAGTTGTCTTATCCTTTTCTTTATTTTTTTTTTTTTACCTGAAAACTTAAGCACTTTTTCTTTTGTATAACAGTCACCGATTGCGTTTGCTGTCGAATGTTTGTAACTTTGTGATATAACAATTAACCTCAATTAGCGCGCGCTCTGACTTTTATTAAAAAAATGGCACGAGAAGTCTAAATTAGCAACAATTTCTTTCAAATCTTCCCACTTTTCCAATTTTATTACCAAAAATTAAAAGCCTTCGCAAAGTCTCATGCATATAAATTTATAAAGTTGGTCGTAATGCAAAATTTTAAACATGCAAAATTCTACTGTTGATAGAAAAGTTTTACCGTCTCAATCGTGTTAATAGCTCTTACTACCGCTATGTAAAGCGAAACTTTACATAGCTCTTCCAACAGTGGTGTTAGAAAGCTAACAGCTTTTTCTGTTAGACTAGCTAAACAAATTTAAAATTAGGTAATTAGCTAAACAGAAGAGGAAAGAATTTTCACCTGTACAATAAGGCATCAGCTGGTAATAAAAATTGACTGTCTATGTATAGCTATAATTCTTTTGCATTTTTATGGTTTTATTAACTGTCCACATTTTTACGAAAAAACTTATTGAATCTCAGTTAATTATAACTATTCACTGGGCGCAGAATCTACAAACGTTCACTGTCAGTATTTAATTCATAGTTCTTAAATTACATTCTATTTATGGATTCTTGTAATCTTCTGCATAATAATAGTTCACTAATTTCTTCTCATCTCGCATTGCCTAATTTAAAACTCATTGCTCTATGTGTACTGAGACGTTTTTGAATAAGAAGTTATTTGAAAAAATTCTTGAGAAGTGGTCTAGGCGGGATCATTTAGTATGTTACCGTTTAATGCAGACAAACGGGATCAGCTTTGAGGGCTTCAGAAGCAACAAATTGAACGCACAGTTTCTTTATCTTGACTACTTTGTTTAATTTTTTTTGTTCTTTTGCCTTTGCGGCTGAAAATATAATACTTGCTGGTTAGCTTAGTAATAATAGTAGGATTCTGATCTTTAAAGGATTATGAAGTTATTGAGTAGATATACAAGCGTTCAAGGACATAGTATAATTTAAATGCATTTGAATGCAACTTTGAAGCGAAAGCATTTGGGTCATTTTTCATGAGGAGGTAAAATTTATGTATTTGATTAATATGGTGATCAATAGTGATTAATTGACTATGGTAGAATTTGTATTTAATCACAAAGTTCTAAACCAGCGCTAACGACTGATTCATTATTGACCAAGTTTAATGCAAAACTAAAGAGTATTAAGACCAAGAAGTTAAAAGTGCATTTTTTGCTCTAAGAATTACAAAACTTTGCAATTTTTATTTAGAGTTGAGTAAGTTTTAAGACACACATAATGGTAAAAACAATTTTCAGGTGTCGGTATAAGGTACTTTTCATTCTGTCCTCGTTCTAAAGAAAACACTAAAAAACGCAAAATTTTTTCGTTTTGGTGGTTCGAGATTAACGAGCAGAAAGAGTATGCAGTGATGAGAATTCTGGTAAAAAAAGTAAGTAGAAGACGGAGATTTTACACCATAATGTGTAGTAAGTTTGGTGCTATAAAAGCAAAGCTAAAGTAAATTTAAAAACTCAACTCACCGTACTTCTTTTGAAATGCTTATTCTTTAATTAGTTATTTGAAACATTATTTGTTATTAATATTTAATAATATAAAAACTGCTCAGACTTGAGCTTTCGGGCACAAACGTACGATTTAAGCACCTGAAATATCTATCTGAATAAATCGCATATTCAACGCTAGTGTAAATTCTGCTCTAACAGTGCATTCCAGCACAATTTAATTTTATGTTTAAGATTTTAAATGACAAATATAAATTGTAACTTTTTGCTTTAGAAAGCAAAAAAGTATTTAGGTTACAGGACAAAAAGTC